AAGGAAGGAAGGAAGGAAGGAAGGAAGGAAGGAAGGAAGGAAGGAAGAAAGAAAGAAAGAAAGAACCCCCCCCTTCCCCCCAGAAATAATGATGGTTACCTGGAATTGCTTCGTGGGCTGTCAAAACCACACTTATGATAGGATTCTTAGCTCCTGAGTCTGCTTCTTTTGAAGAAAGACTTTTCTCAGTTCTTTGTACCCGCTGCCTCTTGGATGGTTTTTCTCGCTCATCTTCCCTCCTGTCAAGGTCAACATCAGAATCATTACCTAAAGGGCAAATATAAATAAAAAAGGAACATAAAGAGAATGATGAGTAGTTTTTTCCTTCCTATTTACCATCCACAGGATGGTGAGGTTTCACCCTAGCTCTGTTGGAAAAGAAAAACTTTGCAAAAGGGAGGCGGGGGTCCCCTCCCCTAGGGAGGTCCATCTAGCGCAGAGATTCCATCATGTCACACTCTTGTCAAAAGCCCTGAGGCGCTTCTGTGTTGAAAGGCCCAGGAGATGCCCAGTTGAGGGCTCCTTTCATGTTTCTGGCAGGAGCTGGAGCGGATGACAGGAGCTTACTTCACCCCATGGCAGCACTTGGGTCTCGAACACAGGTTCGCTAACTTCCAAACCATCCTCTTAACCATGAGTGCCACTGGACTCCTTACGAAGTCCATCAAATGGCTTAGGTCAGGGGTGGGCAAACTTTTTGGCTCGGGGGCCTCACTGACTTTTAAAATTTGACAGACGGGCCGCCACCTGGTGTCGAAATGCCTGTCATTACAAGTCAAAATAAAATGAATGCAATCATTCAAATCAAACCTTAATTCTGTACCAATCTTCGGCGGGCCGGATTAAAAAGACCAATGGGCCGGATGTGGCCCCCGGGCCGTAGTTTGCCCACCCCGGGCTTAGGTGATTGTTGTTGCCAGAGGATAACAAGTTATTGCTTTTAATGAAGGATTTTAATATTGGAATTTTTTTAATCCCTGTAGGCCGCCCAGATTCAGTAAGAGTGAGTTGGGCGGCCATAGAAATTTTCATAAATTAATAAACAAACAAACACAGAAGACAATCCACTTCCACAAATATAAGAGATTGGGGAAACTAAATGATTCTCAGTACGATCTATTTACAATTTACTCCAACTACTTACAAATTCTGCACTACTATTATTATTAATCTCCTCATCACTCCTTATCACCTATCCCCTCCCACTAGTGACTTATGACTGTAACTTTGTCGCTTGTATCCTTATGGTTTATATTGACTGTTTCTTAGTATGGATTTGATTGCTTATTGTACCCTATGACTATTATTAAGTGTTGGACCTGATGATTCTTGACTCTTCACGAATGTTATCTTTTCTTTTATGTACACTGAGAGCATTTGCACCAAAGACAAATTTCTTGTGTGTCCAATCACACTTGGCCAATAAAGAATTCTATGCTATGCTATGCTATGCTATGCTATGCTATGCTATGCTATGCTATGCTATGCTATGCTACGCAATGCTACGCACAGGATTATCCTTTCATTTTTGATATGCCTGATCTCTTCCCCTAAATGGTCCTTCTTTGCTTCCCTTCTCACTAATCAGGTGCTCATGATGAACCTCTCCTCAGATCAATAATGTCCATTAATTTGTGGAAAGCATTCATTGGCAACGTGCAACGGTATTAAAGAAATTACTGTGTGAAGGATTTCACAGCTTGTTCTTATCATTCCTTTTGTTTTAATTCCTTTTTAATTAAGTACTTCTAAGGATGTGACGGGCCAGAATGGACAGAGGTAGTTGAATCCTGACATCTTATATGCATAATTGATTATTTGTACAAGATAGCAAATTCTAGAGGTGAAATTCAGGGGTTTTTTTTTAGGCAGACGAGGATAAATGTGCAACTGCTGTGCCAACGTAGAGAAATTGCTTTAATTTGACATATGGGACAAATCTATTTGGCAATGCAGCTCAAAGACAAAATTAGTCAGCAAGTACAGTCTGCCGAGATTCGTGAAGGTGTTGACAACATGGTAGTCAGTGCATGCCTAATCAGTGTGTTTGAAAGGTTTAAGAAATTGTACAGATGAAGCACAAAAGCAAGTTACCTATTTGTTCGGTTTTATGAAACGACAAGACGCTTCCTTCTTTCAGAGGCAGAAAAGGTCGTAAAATGAGGGGAAACTCACATAAGGAATATCTCACTTAGCAGCAGTAATTTTGGGTTGAATTTTGGACATACGTAAAGGACTTACCTGTACATTTTTTCCCCTGGGCAAGAAAGGTTGTGAAATGGGAAAAAACTCACGTAACAAATATTTCACTTAGCAATCGGAATTTTGAGCTGAATTTTGGACATAAGAGGACTATCTGTGCATTTTTTTTTTCTTCACTAGATTTAAAGCTTGTCCGACTAATAAACAATGGAGATAAGAGTTGCCAAATGCTTGTGATTTATTGAGCTTAATTCCTCCTGTCTGTAGACCAGGGACCTCAGAAATGGATGATCTACAAACTGAGGACATCCAGAAGGGCTGACAATGTACGGGACCTTTTCCCCTCATCAAAAAAATACATGGTTTTCCCAGCAACATCTTCATAAGCGAACCACAGAGTGGAGATATGTGAGGCTGGAAGAAGAGGTCCATCTCCCAGTTGCTGTGGTCGAGAGCAGGGGTCTCCAACCTTGGCTGGCTGAGGAATTCTGGGAGTTGAAGTCCACGAATCTTCAAGTTGCAGAGTTTGGAGGTCCCTGGTCTACAGATAGGAGACATTAAAGCTCAACAATTCACAAGCATTTTGAGACTCTTATCTCCGTTGTTCGTTAGTTGGACAAACTTTAGATCGAGAAAAGTAAATTTGTATAGGCAGTCCTCTACTTATGACCAAAATTCAACCCAAAATTCCTGTTGCTCAGTGAAATATTTGTAAAAGTGAGTTTTTCCCCATTTTACAAACTTTCTTGCCCAGTTCTTACGTGAATCATTGCAGTTGTTAAGTTAGTAACACGGTTGTTAAGTGAATCTGGCCTTCTCATTGACTTTGCTTGTCAGAAGGTCGTAAAAAGTGATCACATGACCCTGGGATACTGAAATCCTCATAAATACGAGTCGGTTGCCAAGCGTCTGAATTTGGATCCTGTGACCATGGGGATGCACCAATGGTTGTAAGCTTAAAAACTGATCACGTGTCATTTTTTCCCCCAGGGCCTTTGTAACTTCAAATGGTCACTAAATGAACTGTTGTAAATTGAGGTCTACCTGTACTGGGAGAGTTTACAGCAGCTGAGCAGGCTATCATTATGAATTACTGTGCATTCAGCAAGTTATAATCTGATCAAGGTATAATTTTACACAATGGTCATAAGTAAGCAAATAAGATTAGTTTTGTGAGAACAGATAGTTCTCAACTCATGACCGTAATGAAGCCTGCCCATTACAATCATATACCATAATGGCTGTAAAACGGGTTGGCACCACAAAGATGGCAGCTGTCAGTGCTGTGCAGAGTCTTTTTTAACCCTTTGTGTTGTGGTCATTCATTCATAGCTGTGGTTTTGTTGTGGTTAGCCGGGAGCAGGTGCGGACAGGCTGAGGAGAGTGAGGACTCAGATGAGGGGCCAGGACCATTAGGGAGTGGACGGCTGCCTTTAGAGATTGTGGGGGCTGGCAGCAGCGATGAGGAGGTTCCCGAGGAGCCTGTGCCAAGTGCGTGTGTGTGCAGGATTGTTCGTAGGAGCAGTTACAGCAGCACGGGTGACTCGGGAGTAAGGCTGCCCCTCCTTCAAGAAGATAAAAGCCAGCTGTGAAGCAGATGTTCTTTGCAGGAAGCAAAGGTGTTTTGAAACTCAAGCCTCGTGGACATTGCAATATCTTAGTTGGTATTTGAAGACTCTTGTGTTGTAAAATATCTCTAGGTAACCTTATCTGTTATTCTTGGCAGCCTTGCACAGTTCCAGCAAGGCTCGTGCTTATCAAAGTTCATTAGTTTGCAGCAGCCTTTTAACCGAGGATGTGTAAGAATCATTAAAAGGTTTCTGTTCCCTTTGGCTCGTGTTTGTTTTATTGGACAAGGGTTTGGGTCAGAACAGGTTTTGCCAATCGTACAATGTGGCTGTCAACTCATAAAAAAAATTCTATTACCTTTTTAGAGTTGTCAACAGAAAGGGAGGGGGAAACAGTGGGCAGCTTTCATTCTATAAATGTTTTCAAAGATAATTTCTAGGTGATCGAGGTTTTTGTCGCGCAAAATTCTAACTGGAGAGCATGATTGATGACTCTTGGCTATGGATGTGTCCCATTGGAGAATGTGAATTATGATACACCCAGGGTCAAGGGTGACAATGAATGATGTGTCTCAGAGTCGGCTACACCCAGGCAATGCCGCATCTTCTAACTCCCAATAAATCTTTTTGGAGTTTGGCTAGAGACTCATGATTTAAATGAGGTTAAGTGTCAGAATTCTAACAGTGGCTACATTGCCATAGGATCCTCCAAGCGGCCCTAAACGCAGCCATGTTGTTGAGCAGCCAAAGTTTGGTCACATGACCGTGGAGGGGGTGCCAATTGTTGGAACTTTAACCTAAGTTGCAAATTCCCTTTCCCAGATCCATTGTTAAGTCGAGAACAATCTATATAAAATCGATTTTTAGTAGTAGATTACACAATTCCAGAATAACAGAGTTGGAAGGGTCCTTGGAAGACTTCTAATCCAACTCTCGGCTCAAGCAGGGGGACACTATACCAGGGTGGGCTGCTGGGGGTTCAGGAGAGCCCCTAGCTAAGATTCTGTGCAGTTTGGAGAACCCCCCAAATCCCACTCCTGGCGGGCCCTGCCTACCACTCCCCCCCCTCCATGGAGTCCCTACGCGGCCTATTTTGGATGCAGGTAAGTGCAGGGCGCACATGGAGGCTCGAGGAGGGTGAAAAACAGGCCTTCCGGAAGTTTGGGGAGGATGGAAATGGGCCCATTTCCAGTTTCCAGACAGCCTCCGGAGCCCAGGGAGGGCAAAAACGCCCCCCCCCGCTGTGGTGCAGGAGGCCATGTAAGCCACACCCACCCCGTAACCGGGCAGAGAACCCATTGCTAAAATTTTGGAACCCCACCGCTGCACTATACCATTCCGGACAAGTGGCTGTCCAATCTGTTCTTAAAGACCTCCAATGATATAGCACCTAACATTTCTGAACAATCATCTGAACAATTGTTCTCACCGTCAAGAAATTCCTCCTTAATTCTAGGTTGGATCTCTCTTTAATAATTTTTCCATCCCTTATTTCTT